CACCTGGAATGGGACGGAGGAAGGCAATACCTATCTGTGTGGAGAAAATGGAGAAAAGCAGCAAGAAAAAGCTGCCAGGCAGGCAGGGAGCTGGGGGGTGCAGCTGGGAGAGCAGTGTGAAGGGATGATCCAGTGGAGAACAAAAGGGGAGAGATGGAAGGAGCAGGAGAAGGGTCGGTAATTGCAAGCAAACAGGCAGAGCCAGCCACGGCTGGGGGGGAGAGGAGGAAAATCAACACTTGAAAGAAACTGAGGATTTGGGAAGGAGAAGGAGGGAGAAAAAAAAAAGCGATAAATAATTAAAGGAGATCAAACAAGGCAGGCAGCAGAACAGGCCTAATTGCAAGGATTTGCGCTGAGGTTCGACATCTCCACCAGCCTCCTCCTGCCGGAGAAGAAAGGGCGGCCGGGAGCGGCGGTGCCGGGCGGGAGGGAGCTCCCCTGATCAAAGCCTGGCACTGCCTTTCGTGGTGCTCAGCAACCCCAGCGAGGCAGCAGCGGGGAGGAAACGCCAGCAAAGGGGAGGACACAGCAAAGGCACGAAGGGGAAGGGGCTGGGGGGCACCTCGATGCTGTGAGAGCGCACGGGGCGATGGGGATGGAGCATCGGAACAACCCCGTGTGTGCCCAGGGTGACCTTGGGCCGTTCGATCCCGGCCCGGAGGCTGGAGGCTCCCATCGATTGGGGCTCAACCTCATGGCCACGTGGCCCTGTGCAGTGCTGGGGAGGGTTTGCTGGGTGTCCTGCTCCACTGGGGCTTCCTCACCCTCCTGGCCTTCGGCTGGGGTTTTTCTTCCCTGTGGATTTGTCCAGCCACTCTTTGAAGCCCTGGGAAACATTCTGTTTGTGACCTCCACATCCTGGACCCACCTGCCTCCGCTCATCTAGGAGCTGCCTCTTGCTGCTTGCTTGCCTTGGCACCTCCTGACTCAGAGGAGAAACAAGTTTAGGAGGAAAGAATGAGCCAGTGCTCCCCTTCCAGCCTGGAAGGACCTTGGAGCAGCCACTCATCACCTGACTCAGCCTTTACTTTTACAAACCCGCAGGGCAGCCCTCCCAGAGCTTCACCCAGCATGGGAGAGGCAGAGACCTGCTGCTGTCCCAGAGTCTCCAGCTGGATCTTTCCCCACGACCAGTGCCCTCAGCCTCCCCCGTGACCCCATCCAATCTGTCCCAGAGTCCCCACGGAGCCCCAGCAGGCAGCAGGTGCCAGGGATGGGCAGAGCAGTGGCAGAGCTCGGCTCGAGCGTGCTAACCTCTCCTAACAGGCAACCAAATCCCTGCCCCGGCAGGACTCCCTGCATATTAATTGCACTGCGTTATCCAGCCATCTGTTCCTGCAGCCAGGAAAAGAGCAGTCCCTTTGGTCTCCTTTATTAACAGGTTTCCCTGTAAATGCAAACAAACCCTCCCGCCACACTCCAGCTCTGCTTTGAGGCACCCAGGAGGGAAGCAGGAGCTCTCGGGCATTTCAGTAATTCAAGAGCAGGGAATGTAAAGGTGGTGATTTCATGCTGCCTGTGGCCAGGCAGGAGAGCCAGGGGAGAGGGAGAGGCCTCTGCCAAGCCAAAACTGCAGATCAGATGGTTTCTGATCCTCTTGCTCGTATTAAAGCCCCTCACCAGCACCCTGTGAAGGGAGGAGCTGAGCTGGCTGCAGGGGAGATCTGCCTGCACTCCCTGGTTGTGCCCAAACGAGCAACCTTGGGGTGTATCTCCCTTTCCCCTTTCCCTATTCACCCACCACCTCCCTGGACAGTGGATGCTCTGTCTGCTGTGACCTGCCAGCCCCAGTAAACCAAGACTGAGCACTGTGTACCCCAGTGTTGGTGGTGCAATGAGCTGCCTGGGGGAGGTAAACACCAGCAACAGCTTTCTGTCCTGGTAGCTTTTGTGGGGGAGCAAGCACTGGACATCTTCAATTTTGAAGATGGGCTCCAAATTTTGGAATTGAGCTCCTGAGAAAGGGTGATAGTTATCCAGCATCTTGGATGTACCTCCAGCCCCTCTGGTTTTGCTCCTCTTCCGGAGATGGGAAGGCAGCCAGCAGAGGCAGCACTAACTTGTCTTCCTGTTGTTGTTTCCCCTGCTTCTCCTCCTAAATATCACCAAAATGCCATAGATTATCCCCAGACTCAGCCATGCTTGCTGCAGTCATATCAGCCTTACCCAAAGGCAAGCTGTTGCCATCTCCCCCCACCCAGAGCCCCCCTGGTGTGAGATGGGGCTCAGGGGTGGCAGCTCTGTACCCCCACACCAGTGCACCAGCCCTTACACAGAGCCAGGAAGGGAAAGCAGATTTCCCAGGAATGACTAACACGTCTGCCTCCTGCTCCTGTGGTCATCCCATCTGAAGCCCCCTGGGACACCGAGGCTGACCAAGATGAGACTCAAACCATACCATTCACCGTTTGCTTTTCTTCTTGTTCTATCCTTTCCTGCATTTAACACACTGCTCCAGCAGCACGAGAGCAGCAGGTGGGATCGAGTGACCTGACATATGGCCATCTGGAGCATCTTTATTTATTACTCTTAACACACACCTCCTCTCTATCTTGACATCTGTGCTCCAGCACAGAGCTGGGCTGGCCGAGGAGGCGGCACCTCCGCGCGCAGAAATGTTGCTGCTATGGAAGAGGTCAGATGCTTAGAGACCATCAAGACAAAAGTCTGCTCAGTAAACAGGATGAAACCCAAGAGCTCTGTGCAGGGCAGGTTTTTCATCTCCTGCAGACCTGGTCACTCACCTCCACGGGAGGTAAACACCAAAGGCTGCGGGCACAGAGCGAGTCAGCAGGGTGGCCCTGCTGCAGCAGCTTCCAGGAGAGAGGATGAAGGTCGTGTGTCTGAGACACAGCACCAGGACACAACTTCCAGGACAGAGTGTTGGCCTATCTGGGTACACACAGCCAATTCCTGCTCCTCCCAAGGAGGGGTATGCCCCAGATCCTTTCCTCTTCCAGGGAATCTGCCCAGAGAAAGGGGTGGGATGTCCCACACTTATCTCTGCAAACCATCTCCAGTAATCACAGAGATTAAGTTACCCAACATAGCAGTGTTCAGCACGTGTGACCAAGTGAACACCTACACAAGACCATTTCTTACTGTCAGCCAATGCCTTCTGACCACACTGCAGAAAGCCACAACAAGGGTGTCTCATTTCCCTTCCAAAAATGGGAGCAGATTTCCAGGCACAGGGAATAGCTGCAACTCCCAAGCATGAGGCATGGGATTTGGGGAAAAAGAAAGAAACCCCAAAACCAAACAGTGCAAGGACACTGTTAACATTCAGGGGATTTGAAGGAGACTCTGAAGAATCTCCAAGTCAGCAGGTGCTGAGAAATAATCCTCCTGTACTTCAGCTCCTCTCACCCATGTTGTCCCTGAGTCTCAGTACAAGCAAAGCTTTCTGCTTGTCCATGCAATTCCCCCAGATTTTGCTGGATTTGGACTGCTGACACAAGAAAAGATAGAATAACCTAAGCCACATGGTGAACCTCAAGTTCTAAAAATCTTCAGTGTTCAGAAATCTGCTCTATCTGCTGTATTAAATATAGCAGGACTGGAATAAGTGTGTGTTCCTTCCCTCCTGGTTGTGAGGCTTTCCCTGCAGCCAGTGCCTTTGGACAGCAGTTCCCCTGGACCACCTGGGCACACACCTCTGGCAGTGGGTACACACCATTTTTAACAAGCTGTGCTGCCTATTTTGGGTACAAAATTGCTGACAGGCTTGCAGGACCCCTATGTCCAGGGAGCTACTGCACAGGAGTCTGCCACATGCTTTCCATTTATTGTTTGGAACAGCCTGTGCCATATTTACCAGGTCTGGCCAGTCACTCCTCCTCAGTGTCCTCCAGTTCCGACATCCTCCCCTGCCCCCCTCCAACATCATCTTTAATTCTTTAATCTTTAATTCTATTAATACTACCTAATAATTACTTTGCTCCATGCCTGCTGAGTAATGACTGCCAACGCTTCTCTATTTCATTACTATTCCTGTAAAGAAACCAAGCTTAAACACACTGAATTTCTGCAGAGAGGAGTGACAAGGACTGTTCTTGCTGTCCTCTCTGCCCACATGTTCCACAGGGCAGGGAAAGAATGAAGCACTTTATTCTTGATGTGCCTTCAACAGTCACAACTGTATGATCTGGTTGAGAATGACAAACTAATTGAAAATCAAAAAAATAAAACGCAGTTCAGAGCTCAGAAAAAAATACAAGAAGTGGGAGGAAGAAAAAACAGCAGTGACCAAAGAGCATTAAGCATCATATGAGATGCTTCTACCCCAGGTTCTTTGGCTCAAACCAACTCTCCCCTCAGTTCCTCTGGAGATTCTGGGCTTTGACTTCTCCTTTTCCTCATCAACATAAAGTCTGCTCAACTTAGAATTCAGCCTACACGGATGAGAGCAATTCAAAGCAATAGCGTAAGCAGCACGGAGGAAGAGTGAATTAATAGCTTCCTTCATTAAAGCTTACCTTCAAAGAAGTCAGCAACAGAGCTCATCATCACCATTTTCTTGCAGACATTTATTTTTATATTCACAAAAAGATGAATGTAAAAGAAATTTATGGAGATGCCAAATCAAGGCTTTTGTTCCTAACTGGGAAGAAGTCGCTCTCAGCAGTTTAATTATTTTCTTAGCACAGGACTGACATTTCCACCACTGTGCTCTTTCACTAACTCCTTTAAAATCTAATTATGTAAGAGATTAAGGTAACTCAAGGTAACAGAGGTAATGCCACCTCCTGGAAAAACACCTCTTGGATCACTTCACCCAGTTATCCCTTTGGCACCCTGTCTTGATCTTCTTTGATCACACTGGTTCCCAGTGACTGTGCTGAACCAGGACCCCAAACCAAAACCCAGGCAGCAGCAGAGTTGGGAGTCATCAGTTCACCCTGTTCACAAGGCTATTTCACCCCTACTGAAACCAATAACCTCTGAGATCCCTACAGCTTCTGCCTTTGAAAGAAACACATCAGGACAGCTCCACATGGTACACTGAAAAAATGAGGCTGTTTTATTGATGATTAGACTGCACTGGCAACAAGCATCAAGCTAATACAGACAGACTTCAATCAAAGCATGAGCTTTGACTCAGAAGTCGTAAAGTGACATGATGCCTTAATAAATTAAGGAAGTTAATTCCTCTCAGTTATGAACTCTTCACTTGAAGTTCTTTGCAAATTCCTCTCCTTTCTTAATTGAAGCCTTCAGCTCAGGCAGGGCCGCAGCAACCATCTTCTCTTCAAAGGGGGAGAGCTTGCCAAGACCAAGGTTCTTCTCAACTCCTTTTTTCTGAGG